AATCAATTAAATTGATATTGTTATGATAAGTGATTTAAAGAACTTGTTTCCTTATGGGAGATATTAAATACACATAGGATACTGTGGTATAAGACAATGTAGGTAAGTGGTGTAGAAGATTGCAAGTAAAGTGGTTTGGTGGTTCAGAGGAGTGAGAACATCCATAATGAATATCAAGAAAGTCTGTTTTTGTAAGAGAGGGACTGGGCTAGGAAGAGGACCTAGAGCAGCAGGGAGAAGACGTCAGAGACACAGAAGATTGCCTTCATACACTAAGAGGATGAAGATTAGTGGCCCATAGGAGGCTAAAACCCACAAAGTGTTCACAAACATTTTTAGTCTACATTTAAAAATTAGGCAAATTCACATAAAAATCTAAATTTCTAGTTTCTCTTGAAAAAGAAGAAAATATAGCAACATTAGATGTGAATCCTTAGTTGGCAACTACTGTACTAGATTCAATTGAGCAGGAACTATTGCTTTCTATGGGACACAGATTCTCTACTTTTTTTTTCTCTGATTACTGGCTCTCTACCATTGAGATATATCACCAGCTCTTTTTGTTTTTATTTTGAGACAGGGTCTCACTAAGTTACTGAGGCTGACCTCTAACTTGTGATTCTCTTGCCTCAGCCTCCCAAGTCGGTGGGATTATAGGCATGTGCTATTGTACCGGCTCAGATTCTTTACTTTGCAGCAGTATTCATCATTTGATACTGGGTTGTCAAGAAAACAGTTTACTTAACAAGTTGAAACCCACAGACTTTCTGTCTGTGGTAAATATGTGTTGATAAATTGGTGGACACGAAACCTAACATGATGAACATAGCTAAGTCAGAATAACTTGAGGGACTCTAAAATATGGCTCAGAGATTAAGGAAGTGTTGGTTATTGTGAAAGAAGCAGATAAAAAGTCTCCTTTTCCTTATGAACTTTCTTATTATGATGTTTTCATATAGATGGTCCTACCTGGTCCTTAATTTTTATGGCAGTATTTTAAAAGCTGCATTTATTTGGCTGTTACATATCTTATTTCCTTTGTTGAAAACAAAGCACATGACCACATTTAAAGGAAAGAATGGTATATTACTGTTATTGCTGTAATGCTAATAATATCATGTGGTTGTAGTTTTTACATCTGCTTTTTATTTTTATTTCATCTTAGCAAAAGAGAACTAATTAAAGCATTTTTGTTTCCTTAAGATCTGTGGTTAACTGTGCATACCTTTCTGTATCCATTTCTTAACTCTCCAACAAATCAGTTCTTTCTATGTCTTGTAAATCCCACCATAGACTTGAGTGATGTTCATGATGTAGTTTTTATTATTTGTAGATAAATTAGATTTTACCTTTCTCCAGAAAAATCTAAGATACAGGAGTTATGTAAGCATTCAGTTTCTTAAATCTTTAGCAACTGGATTCAATAATAAATTCTATTCCATTTGGCTCTTATCAAAAAGTGTAGTTTATTCATCTCTTAGATAATCAGCCTTACTAAATCTAGGATTCCAGCTCATGTTTCGTTTTTTTTTCCGTAGTTGGAGGATAGTTTCAGAAATGGGTCTCATTGATAAAAGGAATTTCTTAAACCAATGAATATAATTGAATATAAAAGTTCTCCTTAATTTGATTTATTTTCTTGTTCTTAGTATACTTATACCATTTTACACAATTTGGTGAGACCAACATGAAGTTAATACACATTTGATTGAAGAAAATTGGAGTCGTATTTATCTCTTTTCTTGCCAAGGTGCTATTGTTGGAAGCAACAATTAACTTTTTTTGGTCTCTTCCTGTCTCAACATTAGCTCAAATTGAGTAAATATAGACAATTGTTTGACATGTAATCCCGAAAACCATTATTTTGCTGACCCAAGGATTTGCACTGTTCCAATAATGGCCACAGAGTCCATTTAACTGCATGTTTACTTAATACAGTGATTAAGAACAGGAATATAGGAATTTTTCAATGTGCTGGTCACAAGTACAGAACTCTTATTGACCAAACTCATTCTACCAAGCTACAGAAGCATGCCACAGGAGTATGAGTTTTGAATTGAGGAATGAACAGCAAGTTACTTTAGAGTCTTTGTTGCCAACCTGTCAAACATTCTCAGTCAAATCTTGGAATGGCTCTTGCACGTATATTTTACAGATTTTTTTTGAAGTTTACATTTTTTTTTTTTGTTAAGACTCTGATGCAGTCAAGGTGTCTTTAACTTTATAACTGTTTCCCAAAATGATAAAAACAATCCTCCCTACTTTGGTATGGCCAGGCAAATGACCCATCAAATCAGAGGAGATAGCAGAATGCTGCTAGTCTGAAAATGCAGAACAGGCTGGCTTTATCCAGGCAGATTTGTGATCCTTAATATATGCTTTATTTGCATATCAGATAACTTAGGAAGCTATGAGTAATTTCCTCTGTATTTGACTTTTGAAAATGAGTTTATTTAACTTCAAAGACCCCTGTTGGCTCAGTCAACACCACGGATATCTTTCTAAGGATGAACTCAGAATCTTTTGGCAATCAATTAGTCAAGTCAACAAATATCAATTTTCCTCAGGGGTAATTCTCTTCTTCTGGCTCCTTTAGATATTCTGTGCTTATCAGGGAGAGCTTTTGCTGAATTCTCCATAAAATCATTTCCCAGCATCCGTGACTACATTTTCTTGCTTCCTCTTGGCCTCTGCTTTCATTACATGATTTTCTTCAAATATTACAACTTAATCCTCCCTTTTGCTATGCAGAAGCCTTTTAATTTGATGCCATCCCTCTTATTGATTTTTGGTTTTATTTCTTGTGCTTTAGGAATCTTATTAAGGAAGTTGTTTCTTGGGCTGGCATATTGGAATGTTGAGCCTACACTTTTTTTTCCTAGCAATTGCAAAGTTTTTAGTCTAATTCCTAGGTATGGTCTACTTTGAGTTGACTGTTGTGCAGGGTAAGAGAGAGATAGGGGTACATTATAGATTTCCAGTTTTCCCAGCACCATTTGTTAAAAAGGCTATCTTTTCTCCAAAATATTCTTGATAATAATTCAGTCTCTGGATGCTTATACAGATTTAGAGCTCAGAAGTGAGACCTGAAAAAAAAATGTAATTCTTAAAATTGGTATATTATTTTAATAGTTTGCTCATTAGAATTTTATTCAGTTGAATTTCATTGACATTCATAATCAAATATTAGTTGTGATCAATGTTCTGAGAACCAAAATTACACTTTATTGGCAAGAACTTACATAGCTTCAGAATGTTTGCATTGAGGTACAGAGTACCTCAATGAGTACCTGAAGAGTAGGGTCAGTCATGTCACTGTCTAGGCAATGACAAAGTGGTATGTGCAATAAAGGAACATGGGGCATTCTAAGAGAATAGAATATCTGGATATGCCAGGTAATACTTTATAGTGTAAATATTCTGGAGCTAGGCTCAAAATAGGTAGGAGTCTCCACAAGGAGTTGGAAGATAGAGGCATGGAGTGGCAGAGAACTACAAGTAGTGAATATGCCTGGAATTTTGAGTCTGAGATCCAAACAGTGGGAGCTAAATCTTATAGGCAGGGCCCAGACTTTGAACACTTTATGCCTTGTTCCATGGCTTTTCTGCAAAGGATGAAGTAAATGGAGCAACTGGTAGCACTGAGACCAGTTAAGAGGCTCAAGCAGTCACGTTAAGTCATTGATTCTCAAATTTTAAGTAGTTGTACTCTAGGTCATCAGTACTTCACTTTTACCTTTTGAATCAGAATCTCTCGCATGGTGGCTGGGCTTTTGCACATTTTCAAGGCTCTGCGGATGATTTTGAAGCATGCTAGAATTTGAAAATTACCAATGAATGATGAGGTCTGGGCTAAGGCAGTGAGAAAAAAAATGAAGTGCCTTTGTTGTAGAGATGCTAGAAATTAGAATAGTGAGCATTCTTGATGACCAACTGTGTGTAAGGAATGGGGGAACAGTAGGATTCTGGCTTGAGTAACTTCAAAACTGTCATTGATACTAATTTTCTTTGTGGCAACACAGAATAGAAGTTCTATGGGAGAGAAGAGAGGAAATTTAGTTTTAGATATAGGATCAACTTACTGCCCCTAATACCCATTTTTATCACTTAGAAAAAGCATCAACTTTCAGCAAATGTGATTCTGTCAATATCAGTATTTACTGGTATCATTGAAGTACTTTCATTATATAATGCTTATTCTTTTCAAAGGACACATTTATCACACTTAAATTTGTTTCGTGTCTATTATGTGATGAATTTTAGACTAGATCTCATTATTATTGTAATTTAAGTTGATGAAACTGAGGTTTAGAAAAGTTAATTCATTTCTGTGAGATCAGGAACAAAATAGTCAAGATTCAAACTTCTGAAGTTACCAAGCCCTGTTTTCTTCCATTTACTGTATACCTGGCTGTAATAATACAGATGGCCAGGTTTAAAATTTATTATTTACTTACAATGAATTTGAAGTTTGTCCAAGATCTCAAGCTGATAATTATTAGAGAAGGCACCAAAATCCAGGTCCCAACCTGGCCATGGCTCTTTGCATTGTATCTTTCTGCTTTTCAGGTAATTGCAGAAGTTGAGTTTATTTTCCTACTTATTTTATGTGTGGTTGGACTGTTACTCTTTCAAATAGGAATATTTTAAAGAATTATAGGTGTGGTTTTGAAGGGAAGGAATTTTGTAAAAAAACACAACTGGCTGGGTACCAGGGCAGACACTTGAAATCACAGTGGCTGGGGAGGATGAAACAGGAGAATCTAGAGTTCAAAGCCAGCCTCAGCAACTTAGTGAGGCCCTAAGCAACTTAGTAAGACCTTGTTTCTAAATAAAATATAAAAAGGGCCGGGGATCTAGCTCAATGGTTAAGCACCTCTGGGTTCAACCCCTTGTACAAATAAAAAGCACAACTGACCCTTAAGGCTCAGTTGCTTAGGAGGGGTCTGTGACAGCTGTGCATTACCAGCCTGTGAATTATTTTATATTTTTAAAAATAGGAACATGACCTTCATGATAAAAAAAATACAGAAATAACTCCAGGAGAAACAGTCCTGCAGAAAAACAAAGAGGAACGGGATCAGCAAAATCGACTGAGAGAGATAGATGAAAAGCTGAGAAAGATCAAGGAAAATGTGGTAAGTCTTTTTTATTTAAAGTTTAATTGTAACCAGTGTTTGTACTAAAAAGTGTTTCAGTTTCCTTAGAACTGTATTTTTTCTATTTTTGTTTTGTTTGTTGTTTTCTTTTTTAAATTGGTGTCCTTTGACTGTTTTATGACCATTCTTGTGCGTTAAATCAGACGTTAATTTGTCAGTAAGAATTTAAGTAAAAGGTAAATATATGATTTGTAGGACTTAAAATGGTATTATACTTAAGCAGTTTATATAACATTATAAAACTGTCAAAAACTTCCTCAATAATGGTCCATAATCCAGATATTCTGTCCAATTAGTGATACAAATATTTTATGAAAAAAATTGATTGTTCTTCATAAAACCATTCTTATATATTGAACTTGCAGCTTAAACAGTCCCATTTTGTTCATAACTAATACTATATTAATAATTAATTAATTTTAATACATTCAAAATCATTTTGATAATACTGCATTTTTTTCTTGCTCACAATTTAAAGATGATGATGAAAGTTCATTTTTTTGAAGATGTATGATAAGTATTTAATTCTTTTTTTTAAAGAGAGAGTGAGAGAGGAGAGAGAGAGAGAGAGAGAGAGAGAGAGAGAGAATTTTTAATATTTATTTTTTAGTTCTTGGCGGACTCAACATCTTTGTCGGTATGTGGTGCTGAGGATCGATCCCGGGCCGCACGCATGCCAGGCGAGCGCGCTACCGCTTGAGCCACATCCCCAGCCCATAATTCTTTTTGTTAAATATTGACAAGAAATAGTTCTAAATTAAACTATAATTTTATAGCTGTGATTTTATGCAGAATATTTAAGTGAATCAAACATTTTAAACAGACCAGATAACAGTTCCTCACCGGATACCAAATCTCTTGGCACCTTGATCTTAGACTTCCCAGTTTCTAGAACTGTAAGAAATAAATTTTTGCTGTTCATAAGCCATCAAACTGATGGTATTATGTAGTAGAAGTCCAAAGGACTAAGGCACTGACCATTTATTACTAGCCTTGAACATGTATCTSTTCTTTTTTACTGTGTCTCTACCATTATTTAGTTTTTGTTTCAAAATGTGAGTCCTTTAAGAACCATTATATATTATTCCTGTGTAATATGAAGTTTGGCAACATTTAAAGGAATTTCATAAATAGTGGGATTTGGTTGTTCATTGTCTGTTATGTAGAAATAATATAAATAGAAGTAAAGGAACTCAAGTTTTCTAGTTTCATCTTTTATACTGAACTTCCATATAGTCTCTAATTAAAACATGAAGCTAGAAAAAAATTACACCAGCCTCTTCAATGTTTTCCATAATTATCTTTAATTTTAGGAGGATTTTTTTTAGAATTAAACTCTTATGGCGGAAAATTTAAGTTGAGAATTTCTTTACTTTTATATTTGTTTTAATTCTGTTAAATTCAGGTGAAATTAATTTGTTATATTTGTTAAATATAGTATATGAGCCCACTTTTGTAAAACTATTTGTGTATTAATATTTATATGCTTAAGAGAGATGGCTGGAATGAATTAAGTTTAGCAGATACTAATATTAGTTATTTCTGGTAGCTGGATTTTTTTTTTTTTTTTGTATTAGAGATTGAACACAGGAATGCTTTACCACTGAGCTACATCTCTAGGCCTTTTTATTTTTATTTTTGGAGATAGGGTCTCACTATGTTGTTTAGCCTGGCCTTGAACTCATGATCCTCCTGCTTCAGCCTCCTGAGTTGCTGGGATTATGGGTGTGTGTCATTATGCCCAGCTGGTTGCTGGACTTTTGAGTGATTTTTATACTTTGTACCTTCATAAAATGCTTTTTTCTTCTTCAGTGAACACATTAGATTATTTTTTACATGGAAAGAAAAGAGGTGGTGGTTATCTAAGTGGAAAAGAATGATACATAAGTACAGAAGAACAATTATTGAACATATATTATATATCATATATATTATATATATGATATATATTATATATATATGAGATTAAAAGGTGGTAGATTTGTTGTGACCAGTGATATTCATGAACTCTCATATAAATTTTAATTTCATAATTTTGTGCTTTATAGTAAACACTGTCAGAGGCTGTTTTCTGTGTTTTAATGTTTTAATTGCTTAGTATTTCATAATAGTCTATGGATTCATATTGTGTACTACATGATCTTTTTCAAATTATTTAAAACTCAATATATCATGGATATCTGGTACTTTTTAGATTGGGAAACTAGAGACCTGAGTTGTCCATTCAATCTTATCAGTACCCTGCTCTGGGACCTTGAATAAATAATTTTGTCTTTTAGAGACTTGTTTTTTATACTTTCAAATAAAGAGAGTTGAGCTAGATGACCTCTGTTGTTTTACCTGTGATTCTTGCTTTTGAGAAGTGATATTATAGTATAGTACCTAAGGCTCAGTTTGTGTGCTTCTTAAATGTTTGCTATTAATTAGTCTTCCATTGAAAGTTACTTTTGGAAGTATAGTAACACTTTTTAGGAAAATGTGAGATTGTCTTTTACATATAAAAATTAGTCTACTGCTTACCAACCAGAGAATATGGTTTTTGAATGCCAACTTTTAAAAATGGCTAATTATGCAGTTTTATCTTATTCTCACTCCTGCATGGAACATCCTTTCAGGATCATAGGTTTTGGAGAAAAAAGGTGATGTGTGGCTGCTGAATTGATGACTCAAGGATCAAATTCAGATTCAGTGTTAGGTATGAAAAAGAATGAACTAAGGGTAATATAGGAGCCCTGAATACCTGATCCCAGGGTTGATTTGTCAGTAAAAGATGGAAAAAATGTCTTAATTCTGTTTCAGATAGTAGGCTGTGGGTGCTGATGCTCATTTGTCTTGGTCAAGATTTGTTGAGGAAATAGGATCTAATTTATTCTGTAAGTGGTGGTAATATTGTTAATATCAAGAGATTTAGCTATTAGAAGCTAAGGAAAGTAGACACAATGAATTGAAGTTGAAGCTTCCAAACTTCATATGAAATTGCATAGGGATACGGGTGCTCTGCAAAGTGGCTGGGTAAGACAAGCCTTTATAAACTCTCAATTATTTATCACACAAATATCAAATGATCTCAGGTATCTGTAAATCCTGATTTTTCTATTCAGCTCAAAGAGTTGCTTTCCATTGTTTTGGGTATTCTATAGGCTTCTCTACCCATCCAGTTTTCTAAACCCACTCTGCTTTACATTACTCCCCTGAGTTATAGTCCTTTTATATAAGCTTCTATACACATGGGGCATAGTGGACCCAAACTGTTTGGGTTTTAATCTCAACTCTGCATTTAATAGCTTTCAACCTTAGTCAGATCACTTGATTTCTCTATGCTTCAGTTTCCTCATCTATGAAATGAGGATAATTATAATTAATACTTAAGGCTTTTATAAAGATTCAATTTATACACATACACAGTACTTAGAATAGGCCTCCTAGAACATTTTTAGTGCTATTTACATATTATTTTTGTTATTATTAGCATTATTAATATGAGCCCATCAAATATTAATAATATTAATAATCAATATTATTAATCATTGATATCAGTAATATCGATTATTGATATTAATTATAAATAATATCAATTATTAATATTATTTTTAATATTTGATAGGCTCATGGAATATCATGAGCCTATCAAAAGAATACATAAACTTGTTTCTAGGATAAGAAGGAAGAAGAAATGGTACAGAGGGTGAAATTGAAGATGGTAGGATAATCCCTAGACAAGACCTAAAATGTCCTTTTTCTAACTCAGGATGAAAGAAAGGAAGGGTAGGCCAAGAAAGGCAATTGAGAGATGAAGAGGAAGTGAAAAAGTTACTCTGTAAGTTATAGAGCAAGTTATTTGATAAGGGTGAGAGGGTAGTATAGAGTAGGAAAGGATTTCAATAGACCTTTCGATGATGAGAACAATACAACGATAAAAAATTAAAATAACCCAGGTGAGGTTGGAGCTACTTAGCCATATTTGAAAGATTCTCTTGACAGCCCTTAGTAGTCCTCCAAAATGGAGATAATGGCTGATGAGTTGAGGCAGGGATTAGGAGAGATTTGGCATTGCAACGGAAGATCAAGAGAGCAAGGGAGGGCCCGGTTGTGGCTTAGTGGTAGAGCGCTTGCCAAGCATGCATGAGGCACTGGGTTCGATCTGGCACCACATTAAAAAAAAAAATAAACAAAATAAAGGTATTGTGTTCATCTACAACTAAAAAAACTATTTTTAGAAAAGAGAGAATAAGGGAAATTGGTGCTACTTATGAGTTCATAACTGAAACAAATGTGTTAATTTTTGTCACTGTGACAAATAACCAACAAAAACAGCCTAGAGGAGGAAAGATTTTTGTTCCTGGCTTCACAGGTTTCAGTTCATTTTTGGCTCTTTCCATTGCTTTGGGCCTGAGGCAGCATGTTGTGGAGGATGGCCCTGATGGAGGGAAACTGCTTAGCTTATGGCAGTCAGGAAGCAGAGAGAGAAGGATCTGGGGGACAAGAAATACCCTTTGATCGAACACCCACAGTGACCCACCTGCTTCAACCAGTTCCCACCTTTAGTTTCCACTGCCGCACAGTAGTCCATTTCCACTATTAGTGGATTAAGCCACTGATAAGGAGATGAGTCCTCTTGATCCAATCACTTCCAAAAGGCTCTACCTCTCAAACTTGCTGCCCTCAGACCAGGCCTTCAACATACTTACCTGTAGAGGACACTTTATATCCAAACCATCACAAAATGTAACATGCATACCATATATATATGTGTATAACTTGTATATACACATAAATAGAATATATGTTAATATAAGTTATATATAGTTCAGGGCCCCTCTTTGTATAACTTGTATATACACAGCATGGAATATCATGAGCCTATCAAAAGAATAAGGTTAGGTCTACATGTCTTGAAAAGATGTCTATGATAGTATGTTAAAAAGAAAGAGCCAGTTGCATAAGACAATGATTAGTGTGATTTCATTTTTATAAGCAAA